TGGGCAGTTGTTCACCACACTACAGATTTAGGGACAGACAATTCTTGACTTGAATGGCTTTCAAGTTGTGATGTAGGATCTGTTGCTTCTGTGCCTGCCTGTCTTTGTCTTTGTTCTTTCATGTGTGTGGTGTTTGCCTGCAAGTTTATGTTGAGCATGTATGTGCAGGAGCCCACAGAGGCCAGAAGAGAGGGCCTTTTTTTTGTTTTGGATAGTTTGCTGTTCATTCATCTAGTCACTTAGACCTTGAACTTCTGAACTTCTGCTTTTCCTACTTCCCAAATGCTGGGATTATTGACCTGTACCACCATCATATTTATGTGGTGCTAGAGACTGAAGCCTTGCATGCTCACTTCTCTCCCAACTGTGCTGCATCTCCAGAGGGTGTCTCTGGATAACAGCCCTGGGTGTCCTAGAATTCCCTCTGTATGCCAGACTGCCTCGAACTCACAGAGATTCACCTGCCTCTGCCTCCTGGGTCCTGGAACTAAAGGCATATGCCAATCCCACCCTGGCTTATTTAATTTTAAAGTTAAATTATTTGTGTATGTGCACACATAGAAGGTCTGAGGGCATGTGAGTCCTGGAGGCTCGGTGGCAGTTTCCTTTACCCATTTCACAGGTTCTTCTCTGACTTTTTAAAATTTTCTCTGTGTTTTCCCTTCATGTATGTATGTGTACTATGTACATCCCTGATTCCCTGAAACTGAAGTTACACGTGGCTGTGAGCCTCTATGTTGGTGCTGGGAACTGAACCTGAGCCTCTGCTAGAAGTATTCTTGCCTGCTGAGCCATTTCTCCTGCCTCCTTTGCCTTTTCTGAGGACCTTTCCCTCTTTGGGAGAAGAACCTCTTATTACTATGCTTTTTCTTTCAGGAATGGATGTTTATGGCTACCTCCTGGCACGAGAAGGGCGGCTGGAGGATGTGGAGAACCTTGGCTGCCGCCTTTTCAACATTTCAGATCAGCACGCGGAGCCCTGGGTGGTCTCTGGGTATGCTGGCTTATTCCTTCTCTTTTCTCTCCAATTTTCAGTCGATTTTTAAAAAAAATACTTTTTTCTCTTTAAGAGAATATGAGTTGAACCAGGCATAGTAGTGCAGGTTTTTATTCTTATCACTCAGGAGGCAGAGGCAGGTGGATCTCTGTGAGTTTAGGGCTAGCCTGGTCTTCATAGCAAGCTCTAGTCAGTCAGGGCTCCATAGTTAAGACCGTGTCCTTAAACAAAAAGTTGAAATCACAGTCTTGAGACCTAAATCAAACCAGGATGTGCCTGTAACTTTGGGCAGGCATTTATTGATTCTTCTGAGTATGTTTCCTCATTTGGAGACCAGGATAATGATCCCTACTTCAAGGATTATGAACAGAGATGATGCGTTGTGTTTAGTAGGCCTCACTCAGGGTAAGAACAGTCAGTACTGGCCTCACACCGACAACATGGCTGTAATAGGAGGAGTGAGCTGCTTGTCGTCCCAGCCACCCCGCTATCTTTCACACGAAATAACCACATAGAAATTGTATTAATTAAATCACTGCCTGGCCTCTTATTGGCTAACTCTCACATCTTGATTTAACCCATTTTTAATAATCTGTGTATTACCACGTGGAAGTGGCCTACTGGAAAAGATTCAGCATGTCTGTGTCTGGCAGCTCCATGGTGGCTCTCTGTCTGCCCTTCTTCCCAGCATTTAGTTCTGTCTACTCCGCCTACCTAAGTTCTGCCCTATCAAAAGGCCAAAGCAGTTTCTTTATTCAACCAATGAAAGCAACATATAAACAGGAGGACCTCCTACACCACATGGCTTTTATAAGGACAATATCTAGATGTCCTTCTAGTCCTTTGATTTTTTTTTTTAATTTTATGTGTCTGGATGTTTTTGCCTACATGTATGTCTGTGTGCCACATGAGTGGCTGGTGCTTGCAGTGGTCACATTCCCTGGAACTGGCGTTACAGATGGTGCGGGAGATTAAACCCTGGTTCTCTGCAGGAGCAGCAAGTGCTCTGAAGTACTGAGCCATATCTCCAGTCCCTTGAGCTCTTTTCATTCATTTTATTTATTTATTTATTTATTTATTTATTTATTTATTTATTTATTTTCAAGATAGGGTTTCTCTGTGTAGCCCTGGCTGTCCTGGAACTCACTCTGTAGACCAGGCTGGTTTTGAACTCACAGAGATCCACTTGCCTCTGTCTTCCAAGTGCTGGGATTAAAGGTGTGCACCACTACTGCCAGATTTTTTTTTCTTAAGGTAGTGTGGTTTATTTATTTATTTATTTTAAACTTACCTGAACATGTGAGTATGTGCCGCATATGCCTGTGGAGGTCATAAAAGGATGTTGAATCTCCTGGAGCTGGAGTTATAGACAGTTGTTAACTGCTCATGTGGATACTGAAAACCAAACTGTTGAGCCTTCTCTTTAGTCCTCTTTTTTATTTTTAATTTTTTTGGATCATTTTGTGTCTTTTTTGACCTTTTTGTTTGTTTTTGTTTTTAAACCAGGGCATTTTATTTTCTGACTGTTAGTCTTCAAGATGAACTGGATACTACAAGAGCCACCCTCTTGGGGTTAGGTGTTGTTCCTTCACAGAAGCCATGCCTTTTTGTTTTGTTTTCTTTTGTTTTATACCGAGACAGGGTTTTACTGTGTAGCCCTGGCTGCCCTGGAACTTGCTCTGTAGACCAGGGTGGCCTCAAACTCATAGAGATCTGTCTGTTCTGCCTCTTAAGTACTGGGATTAAAGGTGTGCACCACCACCACTGCCTGGCACAGAATCCATGTCCTAATCTGTGTTAGATAATTTTTAGGTAACCTCATTGACCCAATCCCAGTAGTGTTTCTTCTCTTAGCCTTGGCACTCTAGTTATGCTTTTTCTTGGTGTTGGCAGGGAGCTGTATTTGCCATAGGTAGACTTCTGAAGGTGGTAGGCCTTAGAGCTACAGCAGTGCTGTTACTACACAACATGTTGCTTCTATGTTGTTAGCTATACAACCTGTGCATCTTATTGCAAAACTTTCCAAAGGATGATGTTCAGCATCTTTCCTCATCTTGTTTCTGCTATGGAGACCAAAGAGCTGCTATTGTTTTGAAACTAAGTCTCTCTATGTAACCCTGGCTGTCCTATAACTTAGTATGTAGACCAGGCTGGTCTCGAACTCACAGAGATCCGCCTGCCTCTGCCTCTCCAGTGCTGGGATTAAAGGCGTGCGCCACCATCGCCCCGGCCCTAAAAAGGCTTCTTAAGGCTAATCCTTTTTCATCCTGCCACTTTGACTTTCCTATTCTGTTCTCACACTGGCTTTCAATTTTTTGGGTGCTTGTTTTGTTTGTTTTGGTTTTTCCAGTCAGGGTTTCTCTGTGTTGTCCTGGAACTCTGTAGAGTAGGCTAGTCTTGAACTCACAGAGATCCACCTATTTCTGGCTCCCTAATGCTGTGATTAAAGGCTTATGCCTCCATGCCCAGTTCAGGTGCTTGCTTTTTCAGTGTTTTTCTAAAAAGAATTCATAGTGGTAAATTTTTTTCTTTCTGGAGTCTCTGCCCTTTGGTAATAATAGTCAAGTTGTTGAGATTGATATCCTTGGCCAATATTATCCTTAAAATTTGATGTTAACCTAAGGTAATATAGGTGTATATAAAACAGTGCTAAACTGAGAGGTCTTATTGAGTAGGCATAGGGGGCCATTCTATAATCCCATCACTTCCAAGGCAGAAGCAGGAGGACTGCCATAAATTCAAGGTTGCCTGGGCTACAGAGTGAGGCATTGTCTCAAAATGCAGGAAGAGGGTGGAAGGGCCTTAAAAAGAGAAGGAAAACATTTTTCTTTATCATTTTATTGGATTTGATTTATAGGTATTATTTAGCTTCAGTATTAAGAAAACACTAAGTTGCACAAAATCAGAATACAGTAAGATATCATACTCGATGTGTTGGCTGTATTTTCATGGTGTTCAAATGTTGTGCCTCTTATTTACCTACTTGCACTTAATGTATACTAACTTTTCTATAAACTAACATACAATACTTTTTGTTAGGCTTAAGTAAACACCAAGGTGTAATTTTTTTTAACTCTTTGTGGGCCTCCCACCTAACTCCCAAATAAATATATGGAGTCTTATTCTTACTTATGAATGCCCAGTCTTTGCTTGGCTTGTTCTAGCCAACTTTTCTAACTTAAATTATCCTATTTCTTTTTAACAACGTTTTATTTCTGGACTTTCTTTCATTCTTACTCCATGGCTGGCTGTGTGGCTGGGAGGCTGGCCCCTGTCTTTCTACTCTTCTCCTTTTCTTGCTCTCCCTCTTTTATCTCTGGAACCTATGTTTCTCCTATTTATTCTCTCTCCCTGGCAGCCCCACCTATCGCTCTCCTGTCCAACTATTGGCCATTCAGCTTTTTTTTTTAAGGGGTTTGTTTATTTATCATGTATACAGTGTTCTGTCTGCATGTATCCCTGCAGGCCAGAAAAAGAGTACCAGATCTCATTACAGATGATTGTGAGCCACCAGGTGGTTGCTGGGAGTTGAACTCAGGAAGAGCAATTGAACTCTGGAACAGCAACCAGTGCGCTTAACCTCTGAGCCATCTCTCCAGCCCCAGTCTTTCAGACCAATCAGGTGTTTTAGATAGAGTAACATTAAATTAATATGCCACAGCAGGCATTCTTTCTAATCTTCAAAATAACCTATGTGGGATTTGCTTCTTTTGTTTTCTAGTGAGCTGTTTTCCCCGTCTCAAAAGTACCAGCTTTTGGTGTATCATGCAGATTCTCTCTTTCACGATAAGGAGTACCGTAATGCTGTGAGTAAGTATACCATGGCTTTACAGCAGAAGAAAGCCTTGAGTAAAACTTCAAAAGTGAGACCTTCAACTGGAAATTCTGCGTCTACTCCACAGAGCCAGGTGATTAAAAGAATTGATTAATTTGTTTATTTATTTGGGGTTTTTAAGACAGGGTTTCTCTGTGTAAGTAGCCTTGAATGTATAGGAACCCACTCTGTAGACCATATTGGTCTCAAACTCACAGAGATCTTCCTGTGTCTCCCTCCTGAGAGCTGAGATTAAAGATGTATGCACCACCAATGCCCAGTCTTTGGCGCGCGTGCACACACACACACACACAAATTGTTTTTTGGTGTTTTTTTTTTTTTTTTTTTTTTTTTTTGAGAGACAGGGTTGAAGTATGGGTTGAAACCATTCATTTTGTTATCATGTAATATTCCGTGGTACATGCATGCTGCATTTTGTTTATCTATTCATTGATGAACATTGGGTTGCTTATTCCTGTCTACCATGAGTAATGTGGCTGTAAAGGTTTGTGCCCAAGTTTTTGGGTGAGCTTGTTTTTATTTCTCGATTATATATCTAGGAGCAGATTGCTAGGTTATAAGATGACTTACCCTGTCTAATCTTTTGAAGAACTGTCACACTGTTGAGATCATATTTTGAAGAGATGTTTTTTGTTATCTTGAAGTGTCTTCCTTCTGAAATTGAAGTGAAATACAAAATGGCTGAGTGTTATACAATGCTGAAACTAGACAAAGATGCCATCGCTATACTTGACGGGATTCCTTCAAGACAGAGAACTCCTAAAGTAAGCTGAAGTTTCCTCTTCCCCAGTTCTGTTCACCCTGCCTCATCCTGTATGTTCTCCATGTTTCAGGAAGTCTGTCTGATCATTCTTCTCATGGCTCTCTCATTTTTTTCCCCCCAGACAGAGTTTCTCTTTGAAACAGCTCTGGCCAGACTGGCCTCTAACTCACAGAGATCCACCTCCCTCCCAAGTGCTAGGATTAAAGGCGTGTTCCACCACAGCCCAGCAATCACTCTCATTCTTAACACTTTCTCCCTAGTAGTGGAGTTGGGGTTCAGACAGATGGAAGGTTGACTTTGTTAAAGAGCCCTGAAAATTCAGTTAGGTATAGTGGCGTTCACCTATGATCCTAGCACTTGAGATGGAGGAGGAGGAAAACCAGGTGTTCAAGGCTATCCCCAAACAGACAAATAACAGGAAAAATGTTTGGCTTGGTTTTGAGGTACTGGAGATCCAACCCAGGGCTTCAGGCATGCTCAGCAAGCCCCCATCACTAAGCTGTAGCCATGACCTTTTCTTTTTATCTAAAATTTTAATCTGGAAACAAAGTCTGACTGAGTTACTTAGGCTGTCCTTAAACTGTATAACCAGGACTGGCTTGGACTTTGATGATTCCTATCCCATCCAGCCTTGTAGTTGGGATCACAGGCTTGCACCACCAGACTCAGCTATTCCTTAGCCTGCCTGCCTGCTGTCCGTCCTTCCTTCCTTCCTTCCTTCCTTCCTTCCTTCCTTCCTTCCTTCCTTCCTTCCTTCCGTCCTTCCGTCCTTCCGTCCTTCCTTTTTTTTCTTTCTCTTTCTCTTTTTTTAAAGATTTGTGTGTCTATGTGTTGTTATGTGTATATTAGTACAGGTGCTCACAGAGGCATTGAATCTCCTGGAGCTGGAATTAACATTAGTTGTGAGCCATCTGATGTGGGTGTTGAGAACCAAATTTAAGTCCTCTGGAACCTCTGGAATAGCAGCAATGCTCTTAACCACTGAGCCACCTCTCCAGCCCGTTTTTATTATTTTTAATTGTGTGTGTGTGAGAGAGTGTGTGTGTGTGTACCTGCAGAGGCTAGGGGTGTGAGATCCCCCTGGATCTGGAGTTACAGGCAGTTGTAAGCTACCTGATGTGGGTGCCGGGAACTGAGTTCAGGTCCTCTGGAAGAGTAATAGATACATGTTCTTAACACTGACAGCTCCCTCCTGTCCCTCTTTGACATTTCTTCATCTCAGGAATAGTGATCTGAAGAGTACTGCAGGTCCAAATACACTTTTAAAAAGCTTCTTCCTTTTTTATATTTAATGGCGTGGTCATTTGATAACAGGAATATTGTATTAATCTTTCCCTTTGTAAAATCAAAACTACAAGCTACTCTTTGAACTGAGGAGGTGGCTCAGTGGATTGAATGCTTGCTATGTAAACATGAGGACCAGCATTTGGATGCTCAGTGCCAATGTAAAAAGCCCTCTGTAGCAGCACATGTCTATAGCCCCAGAGCTGGGGTGACAACAGGCTGGCCATCCAGTGTAGTAGATTTCCGAGTTCCAATGTCAATGGGAAATGGCATCTCAGTAGACATACAGGGTTGATTCTGGACTCCACACGTGTGTATGTATGTACCCACATACTTGCATGCATCTACACATGAGCACATACACAAGAAGACTACATTATCCCTTGGTACATACTGGCAAAATATATATTTGTGTTTAATTTGGTAGTGTATTAAAGAGTGTGCTTTTAACTGGAACTGGTTAGACATCTGAACTATGTATATGTATGCCCTGGCAGGGAGGACAACTTAGCAATTGTAAATATTTTATTTTTTTATAGCTAATAGCGTTTTTGCATTTTCTTTGTGAATCTTTTTGAAAGCTTATTAAGTTCATGAATATAAAAATAGCCTTTTTCTTTCTTTGATTCTTTTTTTCTGAACTGGGAATTGGGCTTACAGCTCTGTGTTTGCCAAACAAGCATGTTACCACTGAGCAATACCCCTAGGTGTAAAATTACTTTTTAAAATACTATTCTACGAAAATAAAGTGCTGTAAACAGTGCTTTAGGTGTCTATCCTTTTCTTGTGTGTGTGTTGGGGTTTGTTTGTTTGTTTGTTTGTTTGTTTGTTTGAGACAGGGTTTTTCTGTGTAGCCCTGGCTGTCTTGGAACTTGCTCTGTGGACCAGGCTGGCCTTGAACTCATAGAGATCCACCTGCCTCTGCTGAAATTAAAGCCTTAAGCCATCACTGCCTTTTTTTTTTTTTTTTTTTTTTTTTTTTTTTTTTTTTGTAATTTTTAAAGATTTAATTATGTGTGTGAATGTTTTGCCTGTATGTATGTATATGCATCACATGCTTGCTTGGTGCCCAGTGAAGTCAAAAGAGGTCGTTAGATTACTTGCAAGTGGAGTTCTGATGGTTGCAAGATGTCATGTAGGTGCTAGGAATTGAACACAGGTCCTCTGGATCAGCAGCAGTGCTCTTAACTGCTGAGCTGTCTCTCTAGCCTTCTGTTTACAATTTTTTTAAAAAAAAATTTATTGTGTTTACAGTATGAACTACGTGTATGAACCAGATCTCATTATAAACGGTTGTGAGCCACCATGTAGTTGCTGGGAATTAAACTCAGGACCTCTGGAAGAGCAGCCAGTGGCCAGTGCTCTTAACATCCAAGCCATCTTTCCAGCCCCTTCTCTTTGCATTTTCAAAATGACCTCTAAAATGCACTACCTAAAGCCAAATAAAATAGTTTAATTTATAGCATTTTATTATTTCAGTGTAGGCATCAGTGTGAATTAAGTTTTGTATAAGACTTATATACTGAGGTTTATAATTGAAACAGATGTTCTTTTCAGAGCCACTGTGTTGAGTAAACACATGATATCTGGTATGTCAAGTTGCAGATAACTGAAAATTTTAAAGATTTTTTTACTTTTGTGCTCTCATAGCCGCTGCTTTCCTCAGGTTAACAATCTACCAAATACCATCTTGTTTAGAGCCTAAATTGGGGCATGGTCGTTTTCTCTTTGTACCATAAAGATTATCTGTCTTTTAATTTCTGTGTCTATTTGTATATACTTGTATGTTATTGTTTGAGGTTTACTTGTATCTTAGTGAATATGCTGTACACTCTTTGTTACAGTGTGTCCTGGGCACTTGTATGTTAGTATGTTGTGTACACTTATATGTTAGCATGTGCACTGTATGTTTGTGTGTGTTAGTGTACTTGCCTGTGTGGGTCTATGAGGAGGCCAGAGGCTAATGTTGGAATGTCTCTTTTAGTCTTTCCACCTTTTTTTTTTAAAAAATATTTATTTATTTATTATGTATACAATATTCTGTCTGTGTGTATGCCTGCAGGCCAGAAGAGGGCACCAGACCCCATGACAGATGGTTGT